AATACTCCAGTGAATGGAAAAGAAGAAAGGAGATGTTGACTTGCAGAAAAGAAAGGAAGAGAGAGCTTTCTTCCCAGACTTTCTGTACAACCAAGGCTAAAGAGCACCATCCTGGACCCAAGGTTCCAGTCTCTTGCCCAAGAAAAGCTCCATCAAAGTCTTTCAAGATGATTGTCTAACATTTCTTATTCTGTAGGCTCTCCTCTCAAATGCCCACTGCCCTTCCCACTCTAGTCCCCAGCAAGAAAAGCAGTTCTATACCAGAAGTATATCACTTTGCCATCTGAGCTGTGATTTTTTTCCCTTCACTTATTCATCCCTTACCTCTCAAATGTTTCCCAATGATGTGACTGTACTCCTCTCAAGGCAAAGAGCATGTGTCTTCCTTTCCCCTGTTTAGTAGATGAGGAAGTTACAGCAGAATTTTACTTGTGTTTGCCAGTTGGCTTCAGTTTTGTGGACTCCAGCACTGAAATTTATTTAACCACTGTTCAATTTCTTTATAGCCTCGAGTAATGTGGTACCTGAGGGTATGCTGTATTTTGTTTCCTTTAGTAAAACATCTCTGATGCAATGGGATGATATTGTGAACTATATTATGCCCCCAGAAACCCGTTTCTAACTCACTCACCATCTGAGGTCAAGCATCTCGTATAGGAGGCTTTGTCCTCTCACACTGTATCCTGCAGGCTGTACCACCCTTTGTTAGCTGTGTTCTTGTTTTGAGAAAGCTGTTAGGGCCAGCAGCAGGAACCCTTTTGTTCTGAGGAGTTCTTTAGGTCCTAAAGTGACCCTACATCATTTTTTTGTTTTTGTTTTGTTTGTTTTGTTTTGTTTTTCTCCAGAAGAACAGCAATCTGCCATAATGTTCATGTTTTGGATAAAGGAAAAAAACTTTGCCTTTTCATTTTAGGGAATTACTGTCTTCTCTGTCCGTACTTTCAGCACTCCTTTGGTTCCTTTCCTTCTGGGGAATATCACCTCTTCTACATTTTTCCCAGAAGGCAATTGAGATGAAATTAGTAGTTTTGTACCATGATTTAGATTCTTTGATGGAAGGGGAAGGGGTTGCCATCTCAAACTGGAAACACAAACCCAGACTTTGAGTCTAGGGTTATAGTCAACCTGCAGGGATGGACTCTTGACAGGTAAGTAAGGTTTTCAATGGATTCAAAAGAATGAAAACCAAATATGGCATTTATAATTCCTTTAAGGCTGTGAATAACATGTTGTGACTTGTTATTCTTATCTACGTCCTCATCCCTATTTCCACCAGCCCAGGGCTTTGTATGTGGTCTGTGGTCTGTCAGGTTCATGATAGCTCAGCCCTGATTGCCAAGAACACTTGAAATCTGATTCCACCTCTAATGACTACTTCTAACTGCTCCCCAAGGCAAGTTTATCCACCGATCATTAATAATCCAAAAATACTTTGCAGTTGTCTCTTCCCATTGGATCCCGAGTGTTTGCCCACATTGCATACTACATCAGATGGTACACATGCTAGGAAGATTATGTGACATAATAGGGAAAGTCAGAATAAGAATCTTGATTAGTCTGTACTTTATTTTAACAAGAAAAATAATGTTTAGCCCCTCATTTAAATTCCCTGGTCTGCGTATGTTTGCTCCCACAAATCAGGAATACTAGTGGTCCTTAAAATATATGACTAGGTTTTGTTTTGTTTTTTGACTAGGATTTCTCATAGAAGCAAAATTGGCATTTAAATTGTTTTTGCTGTACACATGTGGATGAAGTGAAATTGAGGATTTCTCCCAAGCTGATGGCATTGTGATGAATGCCTGGTATGTGTGATCATGGTTGATGACAAAAGTATAAAACAAAACATGTGCCTGCTCTTGAGAGGCCTGTAGTCTAGTAGGATAACTCAGTCCATTAAACATTTACTGAACCCATGCTGTGTCCTAGGAATACATAGCTTTCAGAAGAGCTACTGTTTGTTAGGGAAGCCATGCAGACAAATAATTAGCAGTGTGGTAAGTGCAATAATAAAAGGACTGCAAGAACAAGAGTCATTCAGATATTTTTAAAAGCATCTGCTGCGTGCCCAACATTGTTCCACCTAGTGAGTTTACAGTATAGAATCAGATCGATGTAGTCCTTGTCCTTGTGGAGTTTATAATCTAGTAGGCCAGACAGACATTACACAAATAAGTAAATAAGGAATGTTAATTTATGATAAGTGACATAAATAAAACAAAATATTATGAGAGAATTTAGGGGCAGAAAGGTAAACTTAAACTAATAGAATCAAGGAGTAAAGGATATTTTATGCTGAAACCTGAAAAATAAGTATGGATCTGCCCCTACTGCTCTAGCAAAAGGGGTCAGAAAAGACCTTTTTTGGCTATAGCTGAAAGCCCAGTATGGGAGGGAGTGATGAACTAGCGAGAGAGTGTGATGAGATTGGAGAAGACAGGAGACAAGACCATGCAGGACCTTCTTAGCCTTGGTAGAGATTTTGAATTGAATTCTAAGTGCCATGGGAAACCAGTGAACGATTATACATACTTAAAAGACCACTCAAAGAACCAGCAGGTGGGTGTAGTAGTTAAGGTGCTGGATTTCCACATGACTAACCATGGTTGGAGTCCCACACCCAGCAGCTTGAAAAACATGTACGTGTGTGTGCCCCAAATCCCTAGAAGAAAATAGGAGAAGGGATTGCAGCGTGGCCACCCCCTGGGAGTGGGGGAGTGATTTCTCACTTGCCCCCTGTTTCTGGAGAGTGCATACACCCTGTTGTGGGGCAAGGGAATCAAGATTGATCTTTCTGGAGAAGGATGAGAAAAAAAGCAAGAGCAGAAATGGGAAGATGTCGTTAGAAGACTTTTTGCTATGGGCCCAGCCAGTTGCATGGTAGTTAACTGGCTGGATCCCACGTGGCCAACTGAGGTTTAAGCCCCACACCCAGCTGCTTAAGAAACATGCCAGGGGTCTGTGTACATGCCCAAAATTCTGGGAGGATAGAAGCAAGAGAATTGTGGCATGGCCATCTCCTATGGGGGATGCTTTCTCACTTTCCCTTTTCTGATCTTTGCCTCTGTCTGGCGAGTACATGTGCCCCACAGCCTCAAAAAAAAAAAAAAAGACTTTCACTGTAGTTTGTGGTAGATGATTATAGGTTGACCTTCAGTCATACCAATGGAGGTAAAGAAAAGTGGTCGAAACTTTCAGGGAAATTGAGCAGAATTTAGAAATGTGAGTGGATGAGGCTTTAAGGGAAGGATGGCATTCAGTTTCCTGGTTTGAGCAACTAAGTAGGTGGACATGTGATGTTTATTGAGATGGGGAGGACTAGAGAAGGAACGTATTCATTAGGGAAGTTCAAGAGTTCAGGGCTGGTTTTATGGAGGAGATTATAATCCCTAAAATGTGTCAGACATGGCACATTGTCATAAAAAGGTAAATACCAGATCAAGACAAGTAATAGTGGTAGAAAGTACTCTGAGAGTTGAACAGGGGGGATTAGCAGTTACTAGGTAGGGCAGGGAAAGTTGCTTAGAAGACATGTGAACTTGACTGTGAGGATTGAGAAATATCTGAGTTAGTACAGGAAAAATATTCCAGGTAATGAAACCATATGAACAAAAATATCCAGACAGAAATGTCATGTGGGTTAAGTCATAAAAATGACTTAAGAAGAACTGGGAAGGTTCAATCAGGAAATGGAGGAGATCATAGGGGCCAGTTTTGTAAGGAAGGGCTGCCCAGAAGTATGATACCCAAGCTCTGATTAGTAATGGTTGGAAATTGTCATGTTAAAATGACTAATCCTATGGGGAAAATCTAAAAAATAAAATATAGTGGAAAAAATGGTTAATCTCATGTTATGTGTTGAGTGAATTGAAATCCAGAAGATTGTTTTTTGTTTTGATTTTGGTTTAGGAAATTCTTGTTATCAGCGTAGAAATGAGGACTTAGGTTGGATTTATTGGGTCATCGGGAAAGTCATGATGTATTTTTCTACACAAAAATGTGTCATGACTTTCCTGATGACCCAGTATAAATCCAGTGGGAATGGAAGGGGGAACAAAAACAAATTTGAGTGACATTTAATCAGTGAGAGGAAAGAGAATCAAAGTAAACTTTCAGAACTAACACCTTGGTAACTTTTTCCCAAGATGACTTTTGGCAAACTTGTCAAGAATGGGACTGTTTGAGTTGGACTCAGAAGTTTTAATTTTAGATATGTTGGAGATGAGTTTCCAGTAGGGTGAAATACTTCATGGAAAACGTTGAATCAGAGCAGGTCAAGCATATCTGTGACTACAAACACAGTTTAAAAACTAACAACACCTTGGACAAAGAGGACCAGAGTCTCCATGGACCCTCAGATTACTAAGGTGGTACCACCATTATTCACTAGTTCTGCAAGAAGACAGAGACTGACTGTTCTTGATCCTTTACTTTGTATATCATATTGTACTTAATTCCCCTCTTAATTTGCTAGATATTTAAGTGAAGTTGCCTTTATTTAAGAACAGTTGCTTTAGTCACTTTGTTTGAGATTGTGCCATTTGTTCTTTTTTTGTCCATGAGTCTTGCCCCGTACTGTGTCCTCCCACCTCTTTCCCCCAGTAAAATCTCTTGAACAAGTCTAATGGGAACAAATAGGTTCTAGGGAAAATGCACTTTCACTTTGAAAACCTTTAGAAATTGAGATGACAGTTTGGCGTTCAAAGAATACAGATCACTCCCGGAAGCCAGATGAACACTGTTACCCCAGTCAAAGCCGTTGACTTTTGGTCAGGCAGTCGTCTTTTGATGTAGTGATCTTTTGAGATTCTAGAACCTACTAGGCTTTATTTGCTGACCAAAAAGATGCTTACCTTTAACATTTTAGTCATGTTCTCCCTGTTTGGCCACTGTGCTTTAGGGGAAAGTGCTTGGGAGGTGGGGACTTTCTCCTTTGAAGAGCAGAAGGGTTGACTACCTTCAGTTTCTTTGTCTTAGCATCTTCTTGCTGTCTCCCACAGGGATCCCTACGGCTTTGGAGACAGTCGAGATACAAGACGTGATCGATCCCCAATTCGAGGAAGTCCAAGGAGAGAACCGAGGGATGGCAGAAATGGCCGAGATGTCCGGGATAGCAGAGACATTCGAGACCCCCGAGATTTGCGGGATCACAGAGATAGCAGAGACATTCGGGATCACAGAGACACCAGAAGTATGCGTGATGCTCGGGACATGAGGGATCTTAGAGACTTTCGTGACCTAAGAGACTCTAGGGATTTTCGAGATCACCGATACCCCATGTATGACCGATATAGAGACATGAGAGACTCCCGAGATACTATGTACAGGTACATATGCAGCATTCTCCTTGCTTTTATGTGTTCTGCTGAACTAATTGAAAGTTCTGTAAGAGCAGCCTTATATTTCCAATGTCTATCAAGTGATAGATGTGTTGCTCAGTAAATATTGTGGAATATCTGAATATTTCATGAATTATGCTTAGCGAATGAATCTGGGTCTTTCACTCTGTGAAAAACAACATTGTGCAAGTGGAAAAAGAGGTGTAGTACAAATTGTTTTGGTGGTGTAAAAATGCAGGGATAGCCAATAAATATATGAGAAGATGTTAAGGGTCATTAGTCACCTGGGAAGTGCTAGCGAAAGCCATACTGCTTCACACTTACTAAGGAAATCTATAATTTTTTTAAAAATAATTAGTGTTAGCAAGGTATAGAGAAATTAGAACCATCATGTGTTGTTGGTGGGAATATAAAATGGTATAGCAACTGGAAAAATTTGGCAGTTCCTTAAAAACTTAAACATGGAATTACTGTATGATCCATTAATTCCACTGCTGAATATACTGTAAACCCAAGGGAATTGAAGAGGGACCCATACAGTTGTATATGAATGCATATAGCAGCACTGTCCACAGTAGCCAAAAGATAACCCATATTATTAAAAGATCAACTATATATATATATATATATATATACACACACACACACACACATACACATATATATTTTTTATTTATATATATGTAATTTTTAATTTTTATTTTATTTTTTAGATTTTTTTATTTTTTTTGCCATGGAGCATATGCACCCACCAGAGAGAGAGAGATGAGAGAGAGAGAGAGAACGTGAGAAATCATCTTCTGGAGGGGATAGCCATACCACAATCCATTCTCCATTCTCCTGGGATTTTGGGCATGCGTGCACACATGCCCACAGAGTCTCTCAGCTGCTGGGTCTAGGACTCAGGCCATTGACCATGTGGGACTCCAGAGTGCTTAACCACCACCACACTACCTGCTGGCCCTATTTCACTGTAATTTTTTAAAAACACAGGGAAGGGAGATAAGGGAGCCATGGAATTGTTTCTAGAAACTCATAACAATAAGTACTAGCAGTTGTTTTGCATTTATTATATGCCAAGAACTATGCTAAATGCTTTTTGTAGGTCATCTCTAATCAGTCCTCACCCCCATCATTCTGTGACATAGGTTAACTCAGCTGTAGTCATAGCCTATAAGCCCTGAGTCCCAGATAAAATCTTATTTGTCAAACCCAAAGTCTTGTGTCTTACCATGGCTGCCTTCTTCAGAAGGGATGGGATCTTAAATAATTCTTTATATCTGAATTTTGTAAGACAGGACAGTGTTTTAACTTTGTGAAAATATCCTTGACTTTCCAGGAGAGAAGGCTCTTATGATAGATACCTACGGATGGATGACTATTGCAGGAGAAAGGATGACTCTTACTTCGATCGTTACAGAGATAGCTTTGATGGACGAGGCCCTCCAGGCCCAGATAGTCAGTCTCGTGCAAAAGGTAAAGTACCAGAAATAACCTAGTCCTACTATGGGGAGAATACTTTACAAAAGAAAGAGGAAACTAATAACCAGTACCCCAACTGAAAAGAGACTAATGACTTGGACAGGCAAGTCATAAAAAATAGTAGTATAAATACCTGTTAATACAGGGAATGTTCAGTTTGAAAATGATTTTTCTAATGCAGATTAGTGTCATCACCTGATTTATTTATCCAGCAAAAATAAATGTGAACTTCCAGCAACAGGAAATGAGTAGAAGATTGGTGTTGAAAACATTTTAAGTGCTTGCTTTTTGCTACTTGAACAGATACCCATGCAGCTTGGGTTTTTGTTCGTTTTTTAAAGACCTAGGTCTCTCTTTATTACCTGAGCTAGCCTTAAACTAGTGATCCTCTTGCCTTGAATTCCTAAAGTAGCTAGGATTGTAGGTGCACACCACCATGCTCAGCTGTCATTTTTACTTAACAGTGTCTCTTTTTTATGTAAAACAAACATGTTTTTGTAAAACCTGTATTTCCTCAATACGTCTTTAAAGATTTTTCAGTTGTTTTCTACCCAGCGAAGTTGCAATGTTAAGAACTTCATTTTTAATTTGTTATAAAATTTCACTGCATGGGACCAGCAGTTGGCGTAATGGCTATGTCACTGGACTCCCATGTAGTCAACCACAGTTTGAGTTCTAGACCTGGGCATGTGTGTGTGTGTGCATGCCCCAAGATTCCAAAAGGAGAATGGAGGAGAAGGGATTGCGGTGTGACCACTCCCCATGGGAGGTGATTTCTCGCTTTCTGTCTCTCTTTCTGGCAAGCACACACGCCCCATAGCAAAAACCTCTCGAAAAAAAAAAATTAATTGATTTTTTTTTCAAGCAACCAAAAATTTAAATTAGAATAATAATGAAATACCATGTTTATTTGTCAAATGGACAGAGATATTAAGAATAATGACATTACCAAATGTTGACTGAAGTGTGGAAAAATAGGACTAGCTGATCTACCTCTGTGGAGAGATCAGTTAGTAACAGCCTTTCTAGAGGGCAGCATGGCAATTTGTATCAGATGAAGCATTTTAATGGCTGTGCTTTTTAATCCAGCCATTCCCTTTAGATGAATTTATAATGGTGTTTTTAAAATAGTGGTTATTTTTAGGAGGTATCCAGAGGATTAATGCAGAGTATATTTGTGTGTTATGACCCAAGTGTAGAGGTAGTACAGGATTCAAAATAGGCCTGTGGCTTGTGTTTATGGAAGGGTACAATCCTTATTTCATTTTTTTCTGGTGGTGTCTTGCAGAGCGTTTGAAACGAGAGGAACGGCGTAGAGAAGAGCTTTATCGTCAGTATTTTGAAGAAATCCAGAGACGTTTTGATGCTGAGCGCCCTGTGGATTGTTCTGTGATTGTGGTCAACAAGCAGACTAAGTAAGAATTCTTTGTGTATTTCTTCCCTGTAAGGAGGAGGCTCACAAAAGAAATACAGGCTTTTGTTTTACATTTTTGCCCCCTGAACTCAGGCTATGTGTTCTGGCATTGCTGTGCTGTGTTTGCCAGAGTTCTTTCAGTTGTAGGTAACAGTCCAAACTGGCTTAAACCCAAAAGGGAAATTTATTTATTTATTTTTAGGTTTTGCCATAGGGCACTTGCACTTTCTGAAAAGAGAGAGAGGTTTTAGTTTGCTTAACTGGGAGGTTCAGACGTGGCCATGTCTAGGATCAAACTGTTTTATAAGACTTGGTCTCTGAGTTGGTTCATCAGCACTGTTTTCCTTGGTGTTGCCTTCATTTTTAGGCAGATTTTTTACTTGAAAGTGTAGAAAGGCACTGGTCCTGGACATTTGTTTTCTTAGTTGAGAAAACCCATGGAAAAAGAGCTCATTCCCAATGCTTCCAAACAAACTCCTGAGACTGTTTCTCACTGAGCTGATGTGGCTCACTTTCCCATCCCTGCATTTTGGCCGATGGTTCTGGAAAGCTTTTATTGGCCAGAGCTGTCACGTGCCCATCCCTAGAACTGGAGGTGGGATTGTCCCTATGGAACTATGTAGACTGAAATTGAAAGAGGGAGTAGATGCTGGTCAAGTAGAACAGTAGACATCTCCTTCATGGGACACCCCTCAACCCTCAGTATTTTGGGAGGCACCTGTTTCTGCATTTATCAGTCAAGATTACTGAGCCTCTTTGAAGTGCTGTGGCCTTATAGAAACCACTTTAGATGACCATGTTAGGCAATCCAGAATTCACAGCACCATTTTAGTCTATCCCCCCCCCTTTTTTTTTCAATTTGCCCAAAGATATATGCACTTGCTGCAGAAGGAGAGCGAGTGCCAGCGAGAAAGTGAGGAAGTGCCCCCAATGGGGTGCTTTATCTCTCTCTGTCTCTCCCTTTTCACATGCGTACTATGGGTACGCATGTGCCCATGTCGGGCATGTCTCTGAACCTTCCGGGTCCAGGACTCAAACTATGTGGTCAGCCATGTGGCATCTAGTCGTCCCCAGCACTGGGCCACTAGCTAGTCCCCTACCTCTGTCTTACACTGTCTTCTTGAAGAGGCAGAGCAGGAAAGCAGAAGGGAATAGAGAGCAGCTTGCAGACTTGATGGAGCCACCCTTCCTCGGGAGGTTAGTATGTGACTGCATGTATTTTCTAGCAGTTTGGGGTCAAAGAGCTAATCTCACGGTGGTGACTAGGGAAATAGGTGTTGAAGCAGCAGGCAGAGTTTACAGGCTCTGAGCTGCCTTGCTTAGAGATAAATACTTCTTTAAGTTGTAGATAGCATTTTGGGACACATGATAACAACTACTATTTTCTGAGCATTTAACTTTGTACTACCCCATGCTAGGCACTCTACATAAATTATTTTTGATTCTTATAGTAATCAGGTAGTATTACTTGTCTGTTTTTTCAGCAAATATGTTAGACGTATGGCAGATGCTAGGTACTGAGGCTATAATAGTAATAAGCAAACACACACCCCTTCCTCTTGTGGGGCTTATACGCTGTGCTAGTTGGGTGGATGATAAAAATTAACACTAGACGATGAGACAGGACTGTGAGGGATCTGATTGGGCTGGAGGGGAAGTCAAGGAAATGACATATGAACCAAGCCATATTGTTTCTATTTTATCATTAAAGAAACTGACGTTTGTTAAGAGATAAAGGGACTTTCTTAAAGCTTCACAGGTTTGCGGGTAAATTGTTAGCAGTGCGATCCCAACCCATCTTCCTCGAATTAAAGCCTGTGCTTTCCCATAGTGTTATGCAGCCTCCTCAAAGACAAGTCAGTGCCACAAGTTGAAGGCAGCAGGGTAATGTTAAGGAAGGGCTAAAGGACTGGAGAATGAAGAAAGAGACTTGAAAAGAAGGGTATCAAATACTGTGATACGGGCAGCTTCCTGTGTGACCTTAAGCATGACCTAGTGTAAAGAGAGGGAAGTGGTCTAGATCCTTGGAGCTGAAGAGGGACTGGGAATGGCCCAGGATTTTGAGTTCTCTGTAGGAGTGCACACAGAAGGCTGAAGTACGAGTTTGCAGCTTTGGAGTTGATCAGGAAGGGCTCACCTGGATCCTGTTTGTTTTTACAGAGATTATGCTGAATCTGTGGGGCGAAAGGTGCGAGACCTAGGCATGGTAGTGGACTTGATCTTCCTCAACACAGAGGTGTCACTATCACAAGCCTTGGAGGATGTTAGCAGAGGAGGGTCTCCTTTCGCTATTGTCATCACTCAGCAGCACCAGATTCACCGCTCCTGTACAGTCAACATTATGTTTGGGACTCCACAAGGTATGCAGGCCCACATGGGTCAGAATCCCCAATGCAGCAACTAATACATTAGTTATTTTATGCCTTACTCATAGGAAGCAGGCTTTGGGCAGATGACTCATGTTTCTCATCTCAGATGCAGTAGGGCCCTCCTCGGAGCACACTGGAGGAGACTGGTGTACTCACCTGTCTGACACGCTCTTGGTGTATGTTGTTCTGTACACTGCTGCTCTCTGCTCTCTGAACACTACACTTACTGTCGGGTACCATGGTGGCATGCTGGCAAATGCTTAACCAGATCTAGAGGAAAGGAGGATAGCTTGTCACATTTGCTGATTTCCATGGTTTAAATACTCCCATCATGTCCCATTTGAAGCTGTCAACATGAAGTCACTGAAGGGAGAATTGGAAGGAAATGCACACAGTCAGATCTTGCCCATGAGGTCTGGCTCCACTGCATCTAGCAAATACTACATTTTCATAGGGTCCTTGCTTTCATTCAGTCCTGTTGGAAGATAGAGAAAATTGGCAGGCAATTAGGAAGCTATTGGGTCATCAGAAAAGTCATGACATATTTTTCTGGGTTTTGTTTTGTTTTGTTTTGTTTTTTTAAGGTTTTTTGCTATAGGGCGTGTGCACTCTCCAGAAAGGCAGAGAGACACAGAGAGACAGAAAGCGAGAAATCACCCCCCAGGGGAGTGGCCACACTGCAATCCCTTCTCCTCCATTCTCTTCTCAGGATCTTGGGCACACATGCACACGCACCTGGCATGAGTTTAAGCCACTGGGTCCAGGACTCGAACCTCGGTCGGCTACATGGGAGTCCAGAGACATAGCCATTACGCCAACTGCTGGTTCCTGTTTTGTTTTTTGTTTGTTTGTTTGTTTTAATTAAAAAATGCATCATGAATTTTCTCATGACCCACTATTTTTGAGTGCACTGGAGAATTGAGCAGTGGGGTCGTGAGAACAGGGATGAGGGAAGGCCCTGACCCCTTGAGACCCTTGGTAGGTTCCTTCCTTGAAGTCCTTCTCTAAAGGAGCTTTTAGTGTTTCGAGTGCAGAGTATTAAGATTCAGTCACTTGCCCTGCTCATTGCTCTCACAGCAGAGACTCCTTTTCCTGCCACACCCAGGTCTGTTTGCCTGCCCACGTAACCATAATCACAGAATACGTGAGCCCTCTAGTGGGTCATTTGTCTCTGAGGAATAGGCCTTAGGATATACAAGGACATTTATACAAAGTTCTGAGGAGTCTTACCACCGTGTAAACCATGTTGCCCATGTGTAAGGAGGCAAGGTTATTTAGGGTCACAATTTGATCTTAATCTATGGCTTGAGCTGAAGGATTCAGAAACAGTAGGCCTGCTCTGTCCTGAGGAGCACAGTGGAGAGCCAGGCTTTACAGAGGGGCTTTTTGGCCTCCTGCTGCTGGTCTAGAGGCTGCTGGGCCTGCCTCCCATGGTTATTCCCCACGTGGTCTGTTTGAATCCATGGGAGTTTATCATGTTTCTTTGGTTTTTACTACAAGTCTGTGATCTAGGAATTCCTCCAAAGAGCAGCTCTACACAAAGGGAATGTTCCTACCAAAGACACTCACTCACCTCTTTTCCTGACCCTCATCTCTCTCTCCACTCACCCCAGCCCACTCCCAATCTCAAGGCTTTTTGTCACTGAAATGGTTTTCTTGCCATTTCGAGGTTAGGAAAGGCTTGGTAGAGTGCAGCAGGTGGGCACTCAAATCTGTCAGGGGAGAAAATAACTCATGTCATTCCCTCCTACAGAGCATCGCAACATGCCCCAGGCAGATGCCATGGTGCTGGTGGCCAGAAATTATGAGCGCTATAAGAATGAGTGCCGGGAGAAAGAACGTGAGGATATTGCCAGACAGGCAGCCAAGATGGCCGATGATGCCATCCTCCAGGAAAGAGAGCGAGGAGTCCCTGAGGAGGGAGTGCGTGGAGGGCACCCTCCAGCCATCCAGAGCCTCATCAACCTGCTGGCAGACAACAGGTACCTCACTGCTGAAGAGACTGACAAGATCATCAACTACCTGCGAGAGCGGAAGGAGCGGCTTATGAGGAGCAGCACCGACTCTCTGCCTGGTGAGCTACGTGGCAGGGCCGAGGTGAAGTTCTGACTCTGCATTTCTCTAATCCCCAGGCTCTGATGGGAGGGTGGCAGGCCCAGGGCTCTTAGGGGTGGGTAAGGGGAATGAGCCCATCTCTTGGGTTTTCCCATGGGCCATCCGAGCTGATATAATGATAACAATAATTTAACATGTGGGTACTAAATTCTGGCCCCTATAGTTAATGTGATGGGTGGACTGGTGTTGCTGGCATCCTTGTAGACAACATAGATGCCTTTTTTAAAAAAACAGTAGCTCTCTGTGGGAACTAGACTGTTTCCTATAAATATACTATGAAGTGGCCCCTTTGGGATTTGATGTTATTGTCTGTGCATTGTGTGATTGACGTGATTCAGTGACTCTTGTTCTCCCCTTGGCTGCCAGGCCTCCTGCCCTTGGAGGGTACTTTGAACCAGATACCTTCCTCTTCTGTCTTCCAGGCCCGATTTCCCGCCAACCACTCGGGGCGACCTCGGGTGCCTCGCTGAAGACACAACCAAGCTCCCAACCACTCCCAAGCAGCCAAGTGCTCCCCTCTGCTACACCCACTCCAGCTGCACCCCCCACCTCCCAGCAAGAGCTTCAGGCCAAAATCCTCAGCCTCTTCAATAGTGGCACGGTCGCGGCCAATAGCAGCTCTACATCCCCCTCAGTTGCTGCCGGAAGCACCCCGAACCAGAATTTTGCCACATCAGTGAACAGCCAGCCTCAGCAAAGATCACAGGCCTCTGGCAATCAGCCTCCAAACATTTTGGGACAGGCAGGATCTGCTCAGAACATGGGCCCCAGGCCTGGGGCTCCTTCCCAAGGGCTCTTTGGCCAGCCTTCCAGTTGCCTCGCACCTGCTGGTAACATGGCTAGCCAGAGGTCCGTGTCTTCCACAAGTATCAACTTTGACAATCCGAGTGTACAGAAGGCTCTGGACACCCTGATCCAGAGTGGCCCTGCTCTCTCCCACCTGGTTAGCCAGACCACAGCACAGGTGGCAAGGCCCCCAGCGCCCATGGGATCGTACCAGAGGCATTACTGAGGCTACGTTTTTCAACTCTTCCTGGTCCCCTCATCCCCGGGCCTCCTCCCATTTATTTCGTTCTATGTAGAACTGTTTGGAGGATGTTCGTCACGCTCTCCGGGTCTACATTGAAGGTCATACGTCTCTACCACCTGCTCTCTTCTGCTGAAAGCTATGTTGCTTATTCCTTACAGAGTCAGAGTTTATGCTGCATTTGAGGTGTATCTTTCGTTTCTGTTTTTTGGGGTTTTTTGGTAGGAAATATCTGGAATCACTTGAGCAATACTGGTGTCTGGGCTCAGTTGGTGTTTAATGGGGTTTCTCTGGTCCCTCTGTCTGCTGGATTTAGAGGGGAAAATGAAGAAGCCAGGCCCCAGTTGGCTGTTTGGGTTGGCATTTGTCATGGTAATAGCCACCACCTTTGATGTTGAACCTTGCCAGACTTCCCAGTTTCTCACATCAACCAGAACCACGCTCCTGCCTGCAGCCTCTGCCTCCGGCTGCAGAGGGGCAGATTCAGCTTGGCAGACACAGCGTCGTCTTTGCCCCAGCATCATCCTTGCCCCAGCCCACGCGGATGGGGAGTCTGTTCGAGGATTCGCAGTTTAACCGCTCTGCTTTGTTGAAGAGTGGCCATGGCAGCCACAGAAGCAGCAGCTCGTCAGCCCAAGTCCGGGGGGGCTTGTTTTCATGTCCTTGGAGGATCTGCAGTGGACTGAACGGCTGTGACCACCAGCACGGTAACACCAGCTGTGGATCTGGACCCTGCCTCTCATCCCCGTCAGATTCTGTCAGCACCTCCCTCTCCAATGGCGCCCCCATGGAAGGCAACGCTAGACGCCCCCGCCAGCCACAGAAGCAGCAGCTCGTCAGCCCAAGTCAGGGCGGCTTTGTTTTCATGTCCTTGGAGGATCTGCAGTGGACTGAACGGCTGTGACCACCAGCACGGTAACACCAGCTGTGGATCTGGACCCTGCCTCTCATCCCCGTCAGATTCTGTCAGCACCTCCCTCTCCAATGGCGCCCCCATGGAAGGCAACGCTAGACTCTGGAAGTTAACACCTTTTTTTATCTTTTTTAAGTGATTTGAGCTTTGGGCTCAAAAACCCAGGCTTTTGTTTGCATCTAAACTTTTGTTTTGTGTTCGGAGCAGCAGGAGGTAGGGACCATTTTGATGTCAGACTTTTGGTGGCTGGACATGTTCTCGATCCAGGCGGCTGTTTGTAACTTTTGAGCCGAAGTGAAATTGTTAGAGGGAGGGCTTTCTGGCAGCTGCTCCACATGGAGCCACGGGAAGCTGCCCTCTCTCTGGGGATTGTGCTCATTGGAGCCCTGTGAATCAGTCTCGAGGGGCCTCGGGCAAGCACAAGGGAGAGCAGTGGCTTCAGCTGAGTCCCTGCCGGTGGCTAAACAATGATTTCTAAACTCAAGGTCCCCAAATGGCAGCGTTTTATGTTCTGGTCTGTTTGTGTTATATAGTGTGGGTTTTCCTCCCTCTTTGGAACTCTTGTGTTGTTAATAAGATGAAATGATTACTTTTTAATTAAAATGAAAAAGTAAAAGCTGCGTTCATCTTTTTTGAGTGTCGGTATCCATATTGCAGCTCCTCTGCAGGGCATTCTCCCCAGGGTCAGATGAGCGCCCCTGTCTTAAGGACTCAGATCTGTCCCTCTGCTCCTCAACCTGCATTCAGGCCTCAAAACCTCGCCTAACCCTCCCATAACTTCATATGCAGCTCACCTACTTGGAGCAAGAGCCTGTGAGCTGATTCTAACTCTGCTCCACATCCTGTTTCTGGTAGGCCAGCATTCAGTGTGTGAGCAGGCTCAGCCTCTTACCCCAGGGAAAGGGAGACAGGACCGCAAGGAGGCTGCGTCTGGCTGGTGGCCCATGGGGCAGGTAGCTGTCCTGTGTTGATTTCATCTCAGTTACCACCCGTTCAGTCTACTCACTGTGCAGGGAGTTGGCAGAATCTGTAGTCACGAAGCCAGAGGAAGCCTTGGAGAGCATTCAGTGAGCAGGGTGGATGTGGCGGGGTGGCCCGAGGCCTGGAGCAGGTTAGGGACCAGAGTGCCAGTAGTGCTGAGTCCCACCTAGGAAGCCCTCACTGTCTCACCGGGACGCCAGTGCAGACTGACACCCAGCAAGTGCCTGCCAGTCTCTCAGGAGATGGCATTTGTGCAGTGTTCTCGGGCTCAGCTGTCAGTGCACAGCTAGACAGCCAGACCTGGGCATCCGCCATCCCTCTGTCAGGGAAGGTCAGGAGTGTTTCTGATTAAGAGTCAGGTTCTCCTGGAGGGGGCCCCCTGTAGTGCCCAGACAGCACACCTCAGGCCATGAAGGGTATAATAAAATTATTTTTATTGCATTTTGTGCAGACGGGAGTCTAAAAAATTAATACAGTAAAAGCCATAAAGCATTAAATGGGAGCATTCAACAATAAAGGAAAGAACCAACCCTCTCCTTTTCGTATTGGCACAAAGAACACAAGATCAGTACTGAGGCAGGATGCGAAATACTGAAACACTTACACTGAAAATTAAAGGCAGGCCTAATAATAATAATAGTAATAATAGTAATAAATACTCTTGATTTGGTATGCAACCTCTCTTATTTACAAGGGTTTTCGACTTCATTGCATTTGCCCTGCACATAGATCGTCTAAAACAAAAGCAACACTAGTTTTCACTGCAAGGCTATTGAAATATTGCACTCAGAATAAAAGTCACTTGAATGGACATGAAACATCTAGCTACAGTGATTATAAAGATAATTCGATGAATGACTTGTGATAACATTCATAACAAATATTGCACATGTAGCACAGAAAACTCGGGTTTTTGTTGTGGGATTGTGTTTTTCATCAACGGAAACTGCTCTTGCCAACCAGACAGTCTGGCCCAGATAGTGCAACTTTGGTTCCCTAATTGGTGTTAATCCAGCCCCCTTCCAGTTCTGCCCCGCACACCATTTCAGCCCAGGCCTGCTCAGGCCCCCAGAACCGGGTTCTGAACCCAACTGCCAGAACCGCGGCTCTCAGGGGGAGGGCTTTTGAAGGATGCAGGGAGTCCGTTTCTAATACCTTCAACATCCTGGTTGGTACCTGGAAGAGTACCTCACCCCTGGTAAATCTCAGAGGGGCCTTGCGCTGACCACCACACCTCCAGCCACACCTGATTCTGTCTAGATGGTGCCAGCTCCAACTCTTGCCTTGGGCTCAAAGGAAAGGTGGTGAGGTCAGGAGTGCCCAGTGGCCCCAGGATGGGAGGTGGGCAGGATGTCTAACTAGGTGCGCAGGTCAGGACCCTGGGGCTGGAGGTACTGAACCCAGTCCCAGAGGGTGCTGGACCGAGCATGCTGTGCCTGTTCCCCTTAGTTACGTGCCCTGCGGGGAGGGAACCCAACCACCCCAAGGCACCTCCCACCGGGCTGGTGGAGCGGAAGCGCCGCGGACTGGAGATGGGGAAGCCGAAGGCCCTGGGTCCTAGTTAGAGGAGGGCAGAGAGGCGCTAAGAACAAAGCACGCAGCGACTCCGGCCCTCCCCGAGGCCCAGGCGCCCGGGAGACCGAGCCAGAGGCCGCTGCTAGGCAGCGAAGCCCGGTCCCTGTACGCGGAGAAGGCGGCTGGGTCCCCGAGGCCAGAGCTGCCGATAGGGACGCGGAGGGAACGTCGGGGGCGGGGAGGGCGGGCGGCCCCCCGAGGCGAGCCCTGCCGATAGGGACGCGGAGGGAACGTCGGGGGCGGCGCTGGCCCCTAGAGTAGAATCGCCCCTCTCCTGTCCCAGGGTGGACACTGGGGAGGGGGCACCCTCCAGCTCCACGATTTCAGTCTTTGGCGAGGAGCCATGGGAGAGGGGGAGCAGGCGACAAGCCGACTGAAGAGAGACGCCTGCTCCCCAGCGAAGGCACCGGGGCGGGGCTTCCTCGTGGGGCGCGGGCCTCTCCCGGTCTCTCCCCTGGAGGAGCGCCCTCCCCTCCCCTACCCTGCCCCAACTTGCATAAGAGCCGAGGAGGAGGCTGCGCGTCTGCTGCCGCAGTGGAAGCTCACGTCCGCTGGGAGGCGAGGCCAGGGAAGCTGGACCCTGGTCGTCTCCGAAAGAACTGGAGGGAGGGTGGGAAGTCAAGGGTGCGCGGACAGGGCTTGGGCGCGAGAGCGGGGCGGGGTGTCGAGGGACCAGGACCACGACCCCCGCCTGGGCCTAAAGCGCTTTCGCTCTCCAACTCCGGTCAAGGAAAAGCCAGCTTCCTGAGGCCTCCGCCCCCTCGGGGCGCCCCCAGCGGGAGAGCGCGACAGTGGCGAGAAGAGAAGTCCGTTGCGCTTCTAGTCACATAAAGATGGGGACGTTAAAAATACACGCGATGTCTCCTGTACACTATGTATAGGCTCGGCCCGCGCCCGCGGCTCGGCGGCACCGG